AAAACATTTTATTGATAAAAAGACTTTCAGTCACTTTTGGTTTGACAATACATATAATACCAAATTATTGAAACATTTTTATGTATATATTTTCATAAATATATTATCAAAAGAGAGAAATAAAGAAAGAAAATCATTCAATAAGTTAATTAATTATTTATAATAATCATAAATGAATTCATATTAACTCTAAAACCCTAATTAAAGCTAACATTTTAAATATTTATATAACAAATGAGAAAACACTTTGAGATATTAAATATATCTAATAATAAATACAATATATATTTCCCCCTTAAAACAGGATTAAAAATAAATCAATATATAATTTATAAGCAAACAACGACTGGGCGATTGAGGTCATAGTGGGGCCCCTCGGAGGTCATGGTTTGTTTCAATTGTTTCAATCGTTTGTACAAATATTGCTATTTAATTGAGATTTTTATTCAATTATTTAAATTGTCAGTCAGTTATATATTTATTAATATCAATAGACCTATAAATTGAAGTCAAAAAATATTCTCCTAATTATCATAATTAACGCTATTGTAAACGACCAGAGGATCGACGAGACGTTTTGTACAGTATTTTCTGTTGAATTACCTGTTAATGAGAAATAAAGATTACAATTAAATTGAATTTGTCGTGAAATTAATGTCAAATAATCTGTTTTTTATCAAGCAATCCGATTAATGCATTTTAATGTTAATTAAATAAGTTTTAATAGTATTATACTGTATTAGCAAATCTTAGCGCTAATTAACGGATATTATGAATCAAATCTATGTATAATTTATTTTATTCAATCAAAAGGATTTATAAAATGCTGAAAACCAACTCAAATATCCGCTCTCTATGTATATTATAATTCATTGCTATAAATATAAGGCAAAAATAATTTATTACAAAAATATTTTCATATATTTGTACAGCACTTACAGTGCATGTGATTAATAATGAGAATAAAAATGCAAAAATAGCCCAATATTTCATATTATATATTTTGCTCTTTTCTCTTTCACACAGTATAACACATTTACTGATTATATTATTTTGATTTATACTTCATTATTATAATGAAATTGAATGTTGGGTTTGTTTTTATAAAAAAATATATCCTTTAAAATAATATTTTAAAATATTAAATATAACTTATATTTTTAACTAAAATAAAAATCATTATCATAAATGTTGAATCACTGAATGTCAAACACTATTTTAAATGATACTAAATTTAATAATATTACCATTTAATATAATTATGTATAAATTTTGGTCATAATGTCATTAAATTGATTCAATTAATCGCAAATCTGATTTGTTAGTCAATTTCTAATATATTGTTTTTCATTATGTAATTATATCACTCGAGATATTCATTATTTTGTATTTAAATATCCATTTATATGAATGATTATCGTATAAAACAGATAAAAATAACAAAATAATGAATTATTATTGTTGAGTATTATAATCAAAAATACACATATTATCTATAAATACATACAAATAAAAATTAATATACACTAAAGTATACATGTATATAATATTGTTAATAAAAAACAATGAATAAAAGAAATGATCATGGGGAAAATACTGACTACAATAAGGCATCTTAAGCTTCAATGTGGAGTATTTGAAGAGATCGTCGACGGGAGTGGACATGAGGTGCATTGGGTCGGGAATCCACGTCCCGTTACGACAGATCAGTAACGATGGACCCATTAGTTGATAGCCGTCATCGCAGGTATAGTTCACTCGCGAGTTCTCCCTCGGCGTCCGCCAACACGTCTGGTCACCAGTTATTACATAAGTGCCTATAAATACACGTAAGACACACATTACTACCCAAACATAACGTGTATAGCGTATACAACAGTGCTATAGTATACACCAGTAGGTGATGGAAATGGGCCGACAGTAATGAATGGATGGGTTGACAAACAAAACACTAAATTGTTTTCTCTCTGTTTTCTTTCGGGTAATTAAAAGACATCTTAAGAGTGTTTTCACGTTAACTGCATATAAAAGAAGACTTACTTCGAAACTATATTCGTGTATAATTAGCGAATAATTAGCAATAATTCTTATTAATACCAAACGAATGGCAAATCTAATAGTAATGTATTATTATTATCCGGATTATAGTTTCAATAAATAGGTAATTAAATGCAAAATTAATTAAATTCTCGCAAATTATTTCAATGTTTGGTTTCAATGATATAATTAATAATGTGATCTCTCTCTCTCTCTCTCTCTCTCTCTCTCTCT